AATATGCCATTGTAGATGTGCTCCATAGCTTCTGCACATGGAATTTATTACAGACTTTTCATCCACATCTGCTCCTTTACTTTGCTTAATATACTATATTATTTCCCTTAGATACAGGGGAAGAAAAATTAACCTAAAAGTATTCAGTAAAATTGTATCTATACCCAGGTTATCTAATACAATATTAAATAAACTATGTTTGTCTTTTTTCTAGTCCTGTTATATACTTTCCATGTTTCTCATTACACAAATACACATTGAGTAGCTGAAAATATATAGATAAGCAAATACAAAGTTACTTAAAATCCTATCACTCAGAGATAACAACTACTAACCTTCAGCTATATATACTTCTCAACATTTTTCTGTAATACATGAACACCATTTTTAAACAGATTTTATTCATATTTTTGAGGAAAATACTTAATTAACAATTTAATATTTCACAATGAACATTGTACATTTCTATGACAGTAAATACACATGTACACCTCATGTAAAACAGTTGCAGTATCTTTTACTGTATAAACCCATGTAACATATTTAGCGAGTAGGAAACTTAGTTTCCAATTTTCAATATGTTAAAGATTTTTACAATGAATATTTTTGTACAAACACTTTTATATGTATCTAATGCTTCCTGAGGATAAATTCTAAAGGAGGTCTTACTAAGCCAATAATAGGATTTTTTCATATAATTTCGGCATAAATTTGCCAATTTGCCCTTTATAAAACTTATACCCATTTATACTGTTTCACCCCTCCTAAAAAATACTAGTTATCATCCTTCATTTTTCATGTTTAGAATCTGATAGGTGAAAAAGAATAGCATTTCTATTTACATATTTTTTGTTGTTTTCTATTAATGTTGAGGTTAAATATCTTTCTCTGTGATTTGGGGTCAATTTCATTTCTCTACTAGAATGATCATCTTTTCTTCTTGGTTTTCCGGACTGTTACCTTTGTTACTGAGACTGGCATATCAATCTAAAGTTTTTAATCCAATAAATACAATGTCATTTTAATACAGTTATTTATTTTTTGACTTAAGATCCACCCCCAGAAATATTCGCTGAAAGATTCCAATTAGACACTCTTGACTGAATTCCCTTCCTTCCTCACCTCACTTTCTGTTGTATTCTTTAAGGGTACATAATGAGAACTGTGTAACTTGTGTTATTCTCAGGATTAATAGACTCAAGTTGCAAGAGATGCAACATTCCGAGCATGAAGAATTAACTAGCAACAGCGTTCTGAGAAATGTTCTTGCATTTCAAATGTTTCATTGCTTCAGTGAATAGTGAACACAGGAATTCACTTGGAGACAGATGCTGTGCTTGCACATACTACAAATGCAAACAGTTATCCCCAAAGTGAACAGGAAGGAATAAAAAAACCCATAAAACTCTCTGATGAAAAGAAAAAAATCATTGCACTGAATTTGAAAAATGATCTGTCTAAAGGTGTCCTCTCAATCTAAGGCCATTGGGCAGTAAACACAAATGTCTTTTATGAAGAAATGAAGACTTAAAAAAGCAAAATAATGTGTCTGCATCCGATGGTAGCCAGTACTAGAGCGTGACTACTTTTAGGAGGCTAATTTAATATGCACTATGTTATCTCAGTAGAAGTGGTAAGTGTCACTTAATGCTGTAATACCCGTGAAATTATATATTAAATTTTGATTCAGAAGTAGTATGTGCATTTTTCTGGGGAGGGGGGTGTCTCTGTTTTTAATCTGATTCTTAAAATGGACAATGAACTCCCCAACTGGGATATAGCCCAAACATGCTATTTCCTACCATCCTTCTCATATTTGCAAATATTCCACTTTCTCTCTGGAATAACTCTTCTTTTCTCCATTTCTTCTTATTACAAAATAATATTCTTCCTCAAATTTCAAGTCAAAGATTATCTTGTTAATAAATCATTTTTAACGCAACAATCAAGAGTTTTTCCTTTTCTGGGTGTAAACAACACTGTTTCTGCCTCTGTTAAAATAGCAGTAAAGTGACAGCATCACTGATTCTTTTGCTTGTTGGTCTTACTGGCAAAGTGAGGTCAAAGGCATTTTTTATTCTTCACCATCCCTCAATACCCCCATAACTTTCTGTCTGGGGCCAAAGTGCTGGTACTGAGAGCGAATACTGTCTCTATGCATGGATGACTAAAAGATCAAATAGGTGATTCTGCACATGACTGAAGCTTCACTTCACGGTGCTTTTACTTTTTGGGAATCTGCACCCTCAATCAAACTGCGTTGCCTATGGCTGCACTCTGGGTTTTAAGTTTGCTAGCATATTTTCTCCCCAGACTCCATGTTGTCTCAGTGTTTGGACCTTTGTGACATTTTCAAATAAGGTTCTTGGCATTTTTATCATTGTCTTATCCCTCCTTGAGCTGACTGTGTCACCAGTCAATCTGTTCTCCTCACTAGTGCACACTAGTGCACACCAGAGCCCCTGAGTTGCTATGAGAGAATACGTTGCATTTCAGGTGCAAGCACTGTCTCATTTAAAAATACTGTTTCTCTGACATTTCCCCTCACACTGGCATTTATCCCAAGTTGGCATTTCCTTGGAGAATTGAATGTTGCATTTCAAGGATGTATAGATCATCAGATGAATTATCACTCCTATGACCAGAATCTGTGAGTATTCTATTGGCTTATCACTAAATTGGGATTACAATGTAAACAAGGCAAAGCCCCCACTTCAGGGATTTAAATCCAAAGCTTGCAAATTATCTCAAAAAAAAATTATATATATAAATCCTGTGTCAATAGCTGGATGATACTGTTGTGTCTCATCTATTTTTTTAGTTTCACCTGTGATATGTAAGGAAAATGCATGAGTAAAGAATAAACTTCACATTTTATTGTATTATTCTTTATAGTAGAGAAATATTGCAAGGTGCCTTTTATTTTCAAGTGTTTAATGAAGATATTATTTGGTAGCAAGCAGGGCAAAAGAGTCAGGGCTAAAAGTGTTGTAAGCCTTTTCTACTTATCGTCTTAATGATCTCAGGAAAGTTCCTCAAAGTTCCTAAGTCTCAGTTTTCTTATCTGTACAACAGGGTTGTTCCATCACCTCAAGGTGTCTTTTATGAGGATAAAATGTGAACATGTTATAGAATATAAAAGAAGAGTGTTTGCAATTGTCAATTAGGGCTGATATAATCAACTCTTTGCCTACAAATACTCACTAGTCTTTTTCTACTTAGGGTGATGTCTACCTGAACCCTAAATATTTGAAAAGTCTAGGAATCCAGGGTTCATGAGGTAAGACATTGGACAGCGGGTGCTTCCCTAGTGTTCTGACAAGCCCAGCCAGTAACTAATCACTTGCTGGGTAGAGAGACTCTTAGTCTGTGGCAGATTAACCTTTGACTTCACACCTCTGTGCTGCTTCTGAAATCAAATTTGCCACTCTAAATGGAATCATCACAATAGTGATAGCCTTTTTTATTTCCCAGGCTGTTTAACTTATTCTGCATAACTAGCCACTTTATCCCTCGGGGGGAAATTCATGAAAGAGCTGAAGCCTCTGATCTTCCCTGTGAAAGGGGACAGAGCTGGTAAGTCACAGCCAGGGCTCCCAACAGGGCTACATGCACCAGGACACCTACAGAAAACCTGATTTAAGGATTAACAGGACACAACAGCTATGCTTCATGCTCCTGAATTCTAATGAAAATAATACATTGTGCCTTCCTTTAAAATTTTATTTTGGTATGAAATCTTGGCCTTGTTTTCTTTTTCTTTCATCGCTATACTGCCCTGGGTCACATCATGCTTTAAGAAAATAAAAAGGCTTCGTTAGTCAGACAGTATCTATAACAGATGTCAGTTCAAACTGAGCACCCTAAAGAGAAGCAAACTACACCCTTGGCAGCCAGAAATGAATACATCCTGAATCCAACAAGACAAACATGTCCAAAGGTCTATTCTAACAGATTTGACTTCACATTGTAAAGTGCTTGAGTGGATGTGGCAATAAAGGGTAGATGTATATCTCAACACCCTAGGAGTTCATTTCTGTCAATCAGTGGCTGGAATTTACTTTGAGGGTATTACCTAAAGGTGTTTTTGAATCACTGGACATTTGGAAGCCTGGTTTGAAGCATGCATTTAAATGGAAGAGGACTATTTTAAAAGCTTTCTAACCATTTGAAGCTGCTATTCTGAGAATCACATTTCAGAGTAATATAGCAATGTTGTTCGATTTTCAGAGGGGGAGGTTAAACTTAGCAAGGTTGAGTGAATTGTTCCATAAACGTGTATAAGCAGGGAAGCAACAGAACACAAGCCAGAATTCTCTAACCCTGGCTGTTTTGTATTCTGCAAATATGTGATACTCAAGAGCGAAGGAATGGCACTTTCATGTTTAGAAAGGTTTCAGAAAATATCTGAAAGAATAGAACAAAAACACTAAGAAAACTTTTTTTGTTTAGGATTTGGGCATAAAGTTGAGAAGAGAAAGGAAAATTGAAACTATTTTTTCCTTGAATTTTTACCTTCTCAAAAAAAAAAAAAAAAGTGAGGTAAAAATGAAAAGAAAGCTATTGGCCAGGATTCAGTCACAAGTAGGAGCAACAGAAATGTGAAGCTTACAACAAAATATGGGGGTGGGGGGGGGAGAGACTTTTACTCTAGATTTAATCATTTTCTTTTCACAGTTCTAACTTACATAATTTCCACTGAAACCTTATAATATTCTAATTCAGCAATGCCCATGAAGCAGCATTATTTATAAACTATAAAATACTATGCATGTGTTAATGCTATTACTACTTTTGGAAATGTGGCTATTACATTCAGACCAGGGAGCTCTATTATCTGGCTCAGGTGTGCACGGGAAACGTGAAGATGCTATTTTTGAACACGTACTACAAGCTTAACATACACTACCTCTCACCCCCGCCACAAACTTCAAGTTAGGCATTATGGAATTACTTTCCTGTTGCTGCTACAACAAATTACCGTTAGCCGCCAAACGTACCTGAGTCACACAGCACCAAAATATGTTAGCGGTGGGAAATCTGTATCAGGTCTACAGCAACCTCAATTCTTGCCTCCTCAGAAGAAGGCATTCCTATTGAGGGGCATCAGGCAGTAGAGGCCAAGGCAAGTGTGAGACCAGGAATGAAAGGCAGGTTCACTTGGAAGACGGCCAAGCTGCAGACCTGAAGATGAGTGCACAGTTTGGCCTTTTGACTTGGGGTTTTATATGCTGGCATACTTCCGGGGGATTGCTGACATACTTCCGGGGTACTGAGTCAGTTCTCCCAACACCTGAGATCTTATCCGGAAGTAGCTGATCACCTGTTTCAGGTGTTTTCTATTAGAAGAGGGCCTTTCCCTGGTACCAGCTGTGAGCAATTATTACTTTAAAGAGACAGTTAACCACCTGATCATCACCTGCTGGTCTCCTGGTGTTTGGGGATGGAGGTGAGGGGTGGTGCCTTTTTCTGCTGCTAATAAAAGACTAGCTACCCACTGTAACATTATCACAAACTTAGTGGTGTACAACACAAATGTATTATATCTATGGAGGTCAGGAGTCCCGATTCACTGTGTGAACAGGGCTACATCTGTTTCTGGAGGCCGTGGAGGAGAATCTGTTTCCTTGTCTTTCCTGGCTTCTTGAGGCTGCCTGTACTTGGCTCATGGCCTCTTCCTTGTATTACTGAGATCTCTGCTCCTGTCATCACATCTCCTCCTCTCACTCTCACTCTTCTATCCTTCTTTTTCTTTATTAAATTCTTTATGATTACAATGGGCTCCACAAGAAAAGCCAGGATGATCTCCTGATCTCAAGATCCTCAATTTGACTACATCTGGAAAGTCCCCTTTTCCATATAAGGTAACATGTTCATAGGTGCTAGGGATTGCAATGGTGACATCTTTGGAGGAGGGCATTATTCTGTCTACTGCAGCATTATTTATTCCATTTTGAGATAAGCGAACTAAAAGTAGTGAAATAATTTGACTATGAATAGTTCATAAAGGACCACCACCACCTCATGCAATTTGGTGTTAAATTTCAATGCAGAGGCCAACACCGCTTACAGTGCAAACCTCCTCCTTCATCACCATCTGCCTGCCTCATTGTGCCTTTAGCTATGAAGTGAATTAGGGAAGGGACAATTGTGAACAAATCCAAACCTAAGCTCACTTCTGGAAAAATAACTTTCTTTCTTTTTTAAAAAAAATTGATTATATTTTAAGTTTTGGGGTATATGTGCAGATCATGCAGGATTGTTACATAGGTATACACATGCTGTGGTGGTTTGCTGCATCAATCCCCCATCATCTACATTAGGTATTTCTCCTAATATTTTCCTTCCCAAATTTCCCTAATCCTTGCTATCCCTCCCCTAGCTCCCACACCTCCCAACAGGCCCCAGTGTGTGATGCTCCTTCCCTCTTTCCATGTGTTCTCATTGTTCAACACCCACTTACAAGTGAGAACATGCGGTGTTTGGTTTTTTGTTTCTGTGTCAGTTGACTGAGAATGATGGTTTCCAGTTTCATCCATGTTCCTGCAAAGGACATGAATTCATTCTTTTTTATGGCTGCATAGTATTCCATGGTGTATATTGTGCCGCAATTTCTTTATCCAGTCTGTCATTGATGGGCATTTGGGTTGGCTCCAAGTTTTTGCTATTGTAAACAGTGCTGCATTGAACATACATGTGCATATATTTTCATAATAGAAAGAAAATTTCAGGCCAATATCCATGATGAACACTGATGTGAAAATCTTCAATAAAATATTGGCAAACCAAATCCAACAGCACATCAAAAAGCTTATCCATCATGATCAAGTCAGCTTCATCCCTGGGATGCAAGGCTGGTTTAATATCCGCAAATCTGTAAATGTAATCAATCACATAAAATAACTTTCAAGACTGCATATTTCACCCAGTGGGAAAATAGACATTTGGACAAAATATCCAAAAAGGAAAAGGCTTCTGTGCCCAAATTAAAATAGGTCACGTGGTAAGGACATTCACTTTTTATTCTGTGCATACCCAAAAGTCTACAAGAATAGGGTGCATTTCTGGCCTCACTGAAGTGATGTTAAAATCCGTATCTATATCTTCTCCATGTCTGCGTCCATACCTATAACATGGTATCCATGGTTCAAGTGTAATGCTTTTGTTTCCCAAAAGGTCTTCTGGATTTGGTTTTCATTTGTTCTCTTCAGCCTGTGAGGTGGAAGCAGCAGTGATTTCAGAAATACGCTAAGCTGGACCTTGGAGAAATATAACTACATGTAATACGGAAACAGAAATAGAACAGTTATAATTTATTCCACAACTTGAGTGTGCCAGGAACTGTATTAGGTACTTTATGTGCATAGGACTCATCAAATCTTAGATCAAAGGAATTCCTTCCTTTGAAGTAGGAAGGAATATTATAAATATGTTACAAACGAAGAAGCTGGGGCTCAGGACAAGGTCACAAAGCCAGTTGGGCTGAGAGGAGGACCTCACAGCAGGTGGTCTGCCCCCAGAGCCTACCTGCTGGCCATGCCAAGTAGCCCTCATCTGTATGAAGGAGCGTGATGGTGGGAGAGGGTCTGGGAAGTGGCCCGCACCTGTATGAAAAACTATAAAGGTGGGAGAGGGGCTGGGAGTCTTTAGGGGCCAGGGTCCCACACTTTTGTGTAATGTTGTGTGAGGGCGAGAGGTACTCACAATAGGCTCTGTGGGGTAAGGAGAGCTTGACCTACACGGTCAGCTGGGATAAAAGGCTTAAAGCTGTTAAAGCTGTTCCTATGTTTGGTTGCACCATATACAGCCTAAAAGGCACTGTGGGAGAGGGGCTGAACTGTGATAGGCTGGTCTGAGGGCAGCTACTGTTAGGGTCTGAGCTAATGGGACAGCATAACCCTGAGTCTCACCCAACAGACACAGAGCCAGGTTAAGCCAAAGGAGCAGGACCCCATCCTAGCCCACCAGGACAAAATGAGGATTTAGCCAGTACCTAAGCCAGTCCAAACTTGCTGAACTGAGCAGACTCAGGAAATCAACCCCGCTTCTCCTCAAATATATATCTGAAACAGACAAAATTATTAATTTTACTTATAATGACATTTGTGAGTAAATAAATGAAATGCATTAATATTTCATGAGAACTATTAAGATCAGCTAGAATAGTATATGTTATGCCAGTTAAAATTAGGTTACTGTAAAATTTTTAACTTGCAACTTGGAAATGATGTTTGCCTTAAAGTAATTGAGACCCACACAAGGAAACAAGCACAGATGCTGGTGAGGACGGGGTACAAAAGGTAGAAGGAAGCTGGATGGATTGAGTGGCTTCGATATGGAATAAATGATGGGAAGTCAAATGCAAAATCAATTCAGTTCATCAATATTGATTCTCTATTCTAGACTGGATTGGTTGTTCCTCATCTCACACACACACATACACACAGAGCATAAGATTACTCAGAAGCTGCTATGGGTGTGAAAATGTTATGTTATTAAATTAGCAAACCCAATTATTTGCCAATTTTCATATTTCAGAGTCTCTATAACAGAACATCATATCAAAAAAAACAGAAAACAAGGCCCACTTAGGAAAATATTTGATTCTTTTAGAGTAATATTGTAATATTACAAAGAGATTTGTTCACTTAAAACTCAGATATTTCCCATGAGTGAGTTCATTGAATTTGTTGGCTATCTACTCTAAAATGCTAGATGCTCAAGTATCTCCAGAAGGAAAAAGCAGTAAGAGATTGAACTTCCCCACTTGAGTTATTGTTGGATATTCGAAATACATGCAAGAGAGAAAAAAGGGTCTTAAGAATGTTCACAGAGCACTTTCATTTTATTATAAATTATTATAATGCAAATTGCATTTTAATATTGTCTAATTTAAATCTTAAGAGAGAAATAGGATAGGTACATACAACCCATTTTATAACTGAGACGACTGAAATTCTTAGTGAGAAATTGGTAGAGCCCAGTCTGAAACTCAGATCCACTAAATGCTATGGTCCTTCTACAACAGCCCATTGTATCTATAATTACATTTTTGATGAATAATCAGGGAACAGATCACCATTGAACATATATAATTTAACCTGAAAACAGAAAATAAAGAAGGTATTCAGTATTAGCAAAGGTATGTGTGAAGTTGGAAAGTGTAGTAGTCTTCTGAGAGCAAAACTATCCTGGGTTCATCTTAAAGTTTAAGATGGAGAATTGAGCTGATCTGCAGAAATGGGAATGAAAGATAAATGAAAAGTATAGCTCTGCATTCTGAAATTGTCACCTGAACAAGCAGGCCCTCATCACATCTGAATGTGATGTAGGCAGCATTGGTAATGTGGAAATAAAATAGTGTAAGCCACCTCTTTCAGGGAGGAAAGCAGAAATCAGAGGCATAGGTCTCCTCTTAAGAAGAAAATCATCTTTCATTAAAAAGAAACTATGAAAGGATAACTTGGCTGTAATATATTTGGTTCATTCAAAAAATGTTTTGTAAATTGCCTTCTCTGTACTGATGAGAAAGCTGAAAAATAGTGAATATTTATAATCCAGAGCACTAAACAATTTGCCTAGGCCCTGACTAATCAATGTGAGGTAAAGACACGAAATACGATTAAGTTTAACTGCCTTCTGTCATTTATCGCAAGTTTCAAATCTCTGTTGAGTTTTCTGAATTTGATGTAAGGAAGTAAAGCCCCTTGTTCTAAGTTATTAGACTACAGCATTTCTTTTTCTTTTTGTAAAATACTCTTTAAACACTGTTTGTTTGTATAGACTTAAAATGTTATAAAACTTTAAAAAAAAACTTTTTCTTTACTCAAGCATAGAATCCATAAGAAAATTGTGAAACTTTTGATAATTTGCATTCATAAAACACATTGTAGGAGATAGTGAGTAAATCAGTGCAGTCTGTTAGTTTTTCGCTTCCTTTTGCTTTTCTACCTAGAACCAGCTGCTTTGTTTCAAATCCAATGCATACTTCCCGAAACCACTAGTATATGAAATTGCAGCTTTTGTTTTTGCTCTACATGGATTAAGTGGACTTATGCTCCAAAGCCAATGTCTTGAATCCCTGCAAAGACTCCTGTGGGCTTGTGGGATTCTATCCTCCTAAGCCCTAGGCTGACTTACAAACCATCATTACTTAATGGGATAAGGGGTCTCATCTAGACCTTTCTTAGAACAGACATATTTTTCTATTCTCTTC